ACATAGCTCACTTATTTGGATTTCTCGTTTACAGCATTGCACATACTAGTAAGAGAATATTATATGGCACAGAATAAGAGTACATATACCTTTTATGCTTGAAAAATATTCCACAACCATCACATTTCTGTCCAGTTCTCTGAACATAAATGCTGGAATATCCATGTTTCCTTTGTAGACGTTATGGAATTCATCCAACTCTAAGTCTGAAAATGAATAATAGATCCTATAAGGTTTCCTTCAAGGTTCCAAAGTTCTTCAGCCGTAGCATCCTACCAACAATTGTGTTTATTAATCTCTGAATAAAACGAAGGAATGAGAATAGAAGCCAAAATAGTGTGAAAGTCATATTAATTTGGAGGATAAGCAATTCTAGTAGACTATGAATTCTAGCTTGTGGATTTAGGTGGCGAGTTCATTTGCATTATTAAGTAGGCGGATATGGCTCAATAATTTAAAAAGTTAAATGTTTTCGTTCATTCAAAAAGTAAGGACTGAATCATTCAATACTATATTCTATATCTCCTGATAGAATGAATGTCGGAGAAGCTTCTCTGGATCACCATCTTCACAACGCAATTGATTCAATAGCATATTGTAGCTTAAGTGAAAGGCACTCGTACATGTTGATAATGTAAGGCATCTTGTATTTAATAACAAAAAATGGGCAAAGAGTAATGAACTTTCCCCAAAAATCACAGATGAAATGTTTACAGTAGAATAATTTATATGGTACTATTTAATAAACTCATATGAAAGGGGTTCGAAGCAATGTCTTGGACAAACTGAGGAGCAAAACACAAAGTAATTTATGCACCACAAAAATTCAAGTGACAAAGGACATCTTTCATTTTGAAATAAAATCTTAAAAATAATTTGAGAGAAACATAACATTATTGATTTTTTTTTTTTTAAAGAAGTAGAAGAACTTGAAAACACAGTATAAATAAAAATAAAAATACAGTTATAATTTAATTTCAATATGATTATGTCAAAACAAGAAGAGAGTCAACATTCAAGCATGAATGAATTCAAACATAAAAAACAAATAAAAATACAAATTTAAGAAATCAGCACTTAATTCTTTTTAACATCACTTTTGTTGTTGAAGGCTCCATTTTTTCATCAACCATAAGAATGCAAATACCTCACTGATCAATACTTCGGTGGCCAGTAATAACCACTCATTTGAATATACTCCCCACTAGATAACCATCTGAATTTATCCCCATCAAATTTACAAAAGTTGGTGAACACTACAGTTTTTGCAGGCATATTCAAGCCTAAACTGAACGTCTCTGTAGCAAACAAACACTAAAGTAGAAATTATAATCACCCATCAATATCATCAGAGGTCCATGGAGAATAGATTACTCAAAAAATCAATGCATTTCCATAACCATATGGGGAACAACCTAAATACAGTAGATATCTCAGCAATATCTTCAGTACCCATCAAAAAGCATCTTTACAAAAAGAGCATAAAGTAAGGCATATCAAGTAAGACAAAAAGAGCATAAAGTAAGGCATTTCATGTTCATCTATCAAGTTTAATTTTTCCTCAGAAAATAGTTAGTCTTATCAAATAAGACTCCAGGTCATAAAAAAAATTAGGTAGCAAAAGATTGGCAAAGTTTAAGATCCATCACAACTAACAACCCGGAACTGAAACATCCTAATTTTGATTCACCCATCATTACAAATATAGCAGGAAATCCACTAAAAGTATAACTTAAATAGATCAATTATCAGCATAGATACAGAAGCTAACATCCTTTGTTACAAAATGTGGAAATCCATTAAAAACTAAATAATGAGTTAAAGTAAACACTGTAATAAAAAAGTGAGCAAAAAAATTGAAGTAAAAGATATTTCAATTATCAACAGAACCATAACTTACCAAAATGAAGAAAAAAACTACAAAGTACTTCAAACAAGAGTAATCAGTATGGACAAAAACATCAAAAATGCTTCTAAAACAGTAAAATAACTTGTTGGAAAGTCATAATCTTATAAACAAATTCTATGAACACACACACACACACACACACACACACACACACACACACACACACACACACACACACACACACACACACACACACACACACACACACACACACACACACACACACACACACACACACACACACACACACACACACACACACACACACACACACACACACACACACACACACACACACACACACACACACACACACACACACACACACACACACACACACACACACACACACACACACACACACACACACACACACACACATATATATATATATATATATATATATATATA